ACAGAAAACATGAAAAACAGAGGTCCACATCATGTAACACAGTTTGAGAATTAAAAGTGATAATAATCATTACAAAACACATCAGAATAGAATAAAAAAGACAAAGGCTAGTATTTTTTAAAAAATTTTTATTTTTATCTTAGAGCTTTTCACCTGCTGACATAACTATATGAAAGACTTAAGGAAGTTCCAGCAAGATGGCGGACTAGGCAGAAGGACTGCACAGACCCTCTTCAACAAAGAAAAGGGAAACCAATTAACACAAACACAGAAGATAATGTTGGACCCCTGAGCCCTGAAGGGAAGGATACAAAAGTGGACTAAGCCCCAACTAGCAGAAGAATTTGTGTGAAAATACCAAAAAAGGAGACACACGGAGCTGCGGTCTGGCAGTGACAGACGGCTTGGAGATTCCTGAGTGATGGTAGGACCTAAGAATTAACCTAAAAATCACCCTGCTACCCAGGGACTGCACAGAGGACTGTGCACGGTGGCTGGGGAACAAACGGAGAAGGTAAAGAGAGAGGTGAGCTGAGCTGTGGACTTTTGCCGATCCGGAGGACGCCGGCATTTTATAGGTTTAAAAAGAGGCTTGACTATTTTGGATATTCAAAGAGACAGCGCTCTTGAAGATTTCTGGGGCTTAAGAACATGTTCTGCTTTCCAGCAACCCCAAGGACACTCGGGGCCTGCAAGACTGAAAAGGTACAACATTCTTGTTACTACACCCTACACCCACTTGGGGAATGGAGGTGTGGACATCCCCACTCCCACCTACCTTCTGGGCCCACAGGAACTCCATCACAGTCTGTGTGCTCAGACAGAGCCTGGTTGCCCTACCCAGTCCTCCACAGATTATTTCTTTTCGCTTTCTTTTCCCAGTGATTAGTTTGCTTGTATTTGTCTGTTTCAAACCAACTAATATTATTAATACTTTTGTCCTTTTCATTATTATTCTTAATCTTCCCCTACCAGGACCTAGTTTTCAGCATTTTTTTTCTCTTCCCTGTGCCTGGTTGAAATACTGCCCCCACCATTTAAGGATTTTTTTGTTTTTGTTTTGTTTTTCCTTTTCGCCCTTATTTTTTTCTCGTGACTAACCCCATTCCTTGTTTTTCTTTTTGCATTCTTCCTGTTTTTTTCTTCATTCATTAGTCTCCTTCCCTACATTTTTTTTTTATTCTTAGTGCCCTATCCCCAGATATTGCAGGTTTGCTTGTTTTTTCTTCTTTTTTTCCCTTTTCTCTTTTTTTGGTTACTGTTCCTGTGTGATTGATTACATAGGGTGTTTTTCGTCCATTGGATTTTAGTTTTTTGATGATTATTCAACTGTAATTTGTGTCTAACTGAGTGGGAGACAACAACAGTCCTCATAAGACACAACTACACCCACACCTCCTG